AGGGGACCGTGGCGCGGCCCGGGGGTGCATCTCCGGGTGCTGCGGGGTGGGTGTTCTTGCACTAAGGGGGCAGAGAGATTGAGTGCCGGGAGCAGACGCCCCGCAGCAAGGCCGGGGTAGAGCTTGGCCCCGAAGCCAGGAGTCCAACTCCCCGGCTCCTGCTCTAACTGCCCTGCTGGATTTGCTGGGCTGGCGCGGAGGAGGCTGCGGGGAGTGTGGTCGGACCCGTCACACGGCAAACCCTGCAGCAGTGTTCTTGCACTAAGGGGGCAGAGAGATTGAGTGCCGGGAGCAGACGCCCCGCAGCAAGGCCGGGGTAGAGCTTGGCCCCGAAGCCAGGAGTCCAACTCCCCGGCTCCTGCTCTAACTGCCCTGCTGGATTTGCTGGGCTGGCGCGGAGGAGGCTGCGGGGAGTGTGGTCGGACCCGTCACACGGCAAACCCTGCAGCAGGAAGAGGCCGGGGAGGTACCCACGCTCCGGCCAGCCGGGGGGCACCAGGGTCAGGAACCCAGGGTTGACCCTGCCTTGTTCCTGGCTGGGCCAGGGGCTGGCCAGAGATTGCCCGGCCCAGCTCTGCAGCAGGACGGGCGAGCTGCAGCGGTTAGATCCCACGCCAGGCTGGGACACGGCTGCATTTTGTGCCGGGCCAGGCCTGGGGATCTGGGCCCAGGAGGAGCAGAGCCTGCAGGCATTCGGGTTCCTGGTGGGTACCAGCGTCCCTTGGCTGCCCACGCAGTAGCTGTGCTGGTGGTGGGCTCCGAGCAGGCAGCCTGACGGTCCCCGGAGGAGCCCTGGACTGAGGCCTGCTGAGTCCTTGCAAACTCGTGACTGGTGTCTCCAGCCCATCTGTCCTGCCAGCCCCTGACTTCCCTCTCCGCCCCTCCCTCTGCCCCAGGTGCTCAGTCCTTGTGCCTCCATCCTGGAGACCCAGCAGTGGCTGCACAGGAACCGTTTCTCCAGCTACAGCAGGATGCTGGCTAATTTCACAGGTGAGGCCGCTTCACCGCCCGGGCCAAGGACTCCGGGGCGCAGGGCTGGGGAGCGGTAGCGGGGGTGCTGGGCTGTGGGCCAGGCTCGCCAGCGCTGGCCTGTCTCTGGCCGCGCTCACAAAGCAATTCCCCTCCTAGGCGCTGGAGCCGGGCTGAGATGTCTGGCTAGTGGCTTGGGCGATGGAGAGGCTGGTGGGGGGGCGGGGAGCCCAGAACAGGAGTTTTGACTTACAAAGGGACATAGCCCAGGTGACCGGTACCGGCTCTACCAGCTGAGCTCCGGACTCGTCCGACGACCCCCGCTGATCCAGGGGGTGGAGACGCCGGCTCTCCCACG